CCCTGGCAGCTTGCTCCCCAGAGCAGCTCCCTGCTAGCTACCGAGATTAGCAGAGACCAGTACGAGGTTTCTGCCTTTGCTGAATCTTGCCCATACCGTTAGCCCGCCGTTCGGAGCGTGAGTAAGGCGCAAGGAGGGCTGGAGGATAGGGCTCATCACAAGGAGTTGGTTCCTACCAAGAGCAGAAAGCTGGAGGTCGCCTCTTCTAACTCCCACCCTCGCTGCCATGATGGGCCAGCGCAGGTCCCGCGGCAGGCACCGGCGAGGTGTGTTCTGTGGCTGCTCAGGGCCGTGTCCGAGGGGTGGGTGTCCATCAGTTGCGTTCAGGGCACAGGCTGCTGCAGGTCTGGGAGAGGAGCGGGCGGTGCTGTGGCTACAGCCAAGGCATGAAGTCTGGCTGGAGAACAAGCGTGGTCTGAAGGCAAACCCCAAGGGTGGCCTTGCCAAGGCCATTTGTGCCCGATGTCTGTGGGGCAGGCCAGGAACAGGGCTAGGCAAGGCAGGAGAACATGGGTCTCACCATTCCTATAATATCTCATCTTCCTTCTCCTTTCTGCCTTCCAGACAATTCCTGGTCTTGGATTCCAAAATTTTGTAACTTAAAGGAGTTCAGAAAACGTCATCACAGGCAGTACGAGGAGGCGACTGGGAACATGGTGCACATCAAACAGAAGCTGTACCATAATGGGCACCCTAGCCCGCGGCACCTCTGAGGAACGCCTTCCCCTCCAGAGACTGCAGTGAGGTTTTAAAAAGGACTTTGCTCTTCTTCCAGGGGAACAGCTACTAGTTTGCTCCTCTATGGAAGCCAGCCGAGGACACAATTTTACTTCTCCATCCTGTGTGTCCCTGTGGCACGCCACGATGCACAACTAAGCCAGTCCTGGATGCTACGCAGCCAAGACATTGCACTGTGTTCCACATTTTATTGTCAGACTTGTGTATATATGTAAAAAGCAGACAAACAAAAACAAACAAAAAAGAGAAAAGAGATTTGCATTATACTTTCAACCCCCTTTTCCTGGCATTCACGGCTGTCCTGCACATCCAGCTACCCTACGGGGAACGTTGGCCAAGGGTATGGAGGTGGGACAACATGAAGAAGATGCAGAGTTTCTCATCCAAGAGCTCAAGTCCCCCGTTTCTTTGGTCCTTTGGCTTGGTTTTGCTCTGCTCTGTTCCTTCCGTTGCTAGAATGGCTTGGCTGGTCACAGGTTTGGACGGGGACTGCTGCCAGCTGGTTGTGAAGGCACAGCGTCCCTTTTGCTTCGGTTCATGTTTTGGGGAGTTGCTGTGGGGGAAGGAAGTCCTGGGAATATATAACTGGGTTGTTTGCATTGCTATACACTGAAACCTGCCTTAAGCAATCCAAGAAATCCTAGTACCAGGGGAACAGTACTATATAAGGTGTCAGTCCATTTAACAGGGCTGGTGCCGCCTGGTTTACACCGCTTTTATATTGGTGGTACCTTGCTGATGTCAGTGCTGTTATTCTTCACCAATGCTAGCGAGGAGTTGCTCCTGACATGCGGGGAGAAGCGTATTGAGTTGAATGGTGTTAGATCTGACTTGCACCCTGATCATACCCCTCTGCTGCATAAACACCACCCACCCCTGGGAGGAAAGGAGCTGCTCTGCCCCTCTCCTGGGAGGGTGAGCCTGCGGCCCTGGTTAATACCACCCTCGAAACACTGACAGTGCAGAGAGAGGGTCCTGTTGATGGTCTTCTCTTCCTGCACATGAACAGCCACCTAGCTTTTGTGTCACTGCTCCGAGCTGAATTAGCACTTCAGCAGCAGGCTGGGCTTGGCTTGAGGAACACAGAGAGATGTGGGCCTGAAGCCAAACGCATCCGCAGAGTCAAATGTCCCAATAATGGGTTGAATCGAAGTACGAGGATGCTCTAACGTGGTTTGGCCTTTGCTTCCCCTGGTCGCAGCTTAGGTGTGGGTTTCAAGGTAGCTATCAAGTGTCTGAAACCAACCTCCACATCCAGAGACCTCCTTCACTTCCAGTCGGAGCTGCCTGAAGGAGTTGATAAAGCCCGTACGCACCTAGACAGCGCAGTGGTATCTGATTCCTGCGGCAGTCATGTTCTGCTGGGGCAGAGAAGCAAACGCACCCAGATTGCATTCCTTTTGCACGTGCTGGGCAGCAGTCAGCAGTAGCCCTGCTGGCTGCAGTGGGAAGAGAGAGATTTTTATTGAGAGGAATAAGGGAGGGAGACACTAGCCCCAAGAATTTAAGGTGGTAGCCTTGAATCCCAATCATTTCTCCTTCATTCATCGTTTAAGCTTGTGCTTAAATGGGGAAAACATCAAGAACAAAAGGATGATGCACACTATCAGGAACTGCTGTTTTCTTCTGTGGATTCCTTGACTCTGTCACTGGCCTCCAAATGTCTGATTGCAATGTCTGTGAAGGGAAAAGGACACCATGACGCCCCGCTCTTTTCCTCCTTGCTTCAGCTTCTGTGTCTTGGTTTTCTTTCATTGTTTCCTATGCCCAGGATCAGTTCAGTTCTTTACAAGCCCCAAAGCTGGCCAAGAGCCAAACATACCTGTTTCTCTGCCATCCCCACCTTTGCTATTCCCTAGTGCCTCTTGTCTTGGAGCCCCAGCTTCTGTCTGGGCCTAAATAATTGCCCGGTCTATACTTATGTCTTTCTGCCTGTCTGTCTGTCATTCAGGACTTCCTATGGTTGTAATGTCTGCAGCCACCTGGTAGTATCTAAAGAATGACTTTTCCTCAAGCAGCTCCTTTCCAAGACACACGGCTTTGCAACCTCCCTCACCGTATGAGCTTTGTGCGTTTGACCATGTGGGCTCATCCTCAAGCGGCGCAGGATGCTCACTTCAATGGGGTGTTACTCCTGCAGTGCCAGATGAGATCTGGCCAAACGGCCGCTCTGTCCGCCCTCGTGTGATGGCACACGCTTCACTGACAGCAAAGAATAGGTCCTGTTTTGTAACAACAGGTACATGTCATGGACATGTCTTCAGGTGGGACAATGTTTTGTGGGGGAGAAAATTCCATCGTGATAAGGACAAATACTGAGTTTCTGGAACTAGTAATGGGGAAAAAAAGCACTTTAAATAATCTTTCCACTTGGAGCCTCTCACAAGAGAGACTGAAGGCAGTGACCTAAACTCAGACTGAATTGAAAGTCTGGTTCTGCCCTGCTCTAGCAACTGACCTTAGTCGAAAATCGTTAAATATGGAACTTACAAC